ATCATCTGTTGAACTCTATCAATCTCTTTACCTTCAGGCAATCCCAATTTTCTGAGCACCTCCTGCAACTCTTGTGCAGAAATATATCCATCCCCATCTTCATCGAATACCTTGAAAGCTTCGGTAAGATCCGACTCCTGTTGTAACATCTCATCGTCGCCAGTTTCCCCTTTTTCTTCTCCGAAAAAAGTATCATCAAGAGACTGATGGAGGGCTGCAAAGTCTTCGAACGTAAGTCCGTCGTTCCCCGGTTTAATAAAGGAGTTGACAGTGAATTCCAGCTCCGACAAGTCGGTGTCAAGACCAAGAAGAGAAAGGGCTTGGTTGAGCTCCTGGACTGTGATCATGGCGTCACCATTTTTGTCGAAGAGATCAAAAATGCGATGGAGACGGAGAGAGTTGAGACTTGGGGAACGTAGACGAAAGGAAGAGGTCTTCCTGGTGAGGTCTTTTCCACTCCCTGCGGAACCGCCAACTTCTTCCATGGAGAAAGAAAGAACAAGTTTGAAGATTGTGGCGGCCGACAGGGAGGAGACGGAAAGAGTCGGCTGCTCCAAATTTGTAAAGTCTGATCTTGAATTAATAGAAATGGAGATGCTATTTTATAAGAGATAATGCGCGTTTGACGGGCAACGGGCAGTCATACATGACCATTTCCTCTCTTCCCTATTTTCAACTCTTGCCAACTGACAGATATAACCACTCAATCGTAATTACACGTTCGTTGACCCAAAATATCAATTTAGTTTTTTATCTATGGCTTAATGCTTATGTGTAATTTTATTAAAATATTCTAATATTATTAATTACATTATTATAGATGAATAAATACTAATTAATTATTGAATTATAAAAATTCTTATTAGAGAGAGAGAGAGAGAGAGAAATTATTGTTTGCAGGTTTCACGTGTGGATGTTGGATGGCTGCCCAGAAACGCGCAGAACCATGTCTCATGTGGCACGTGCGGCAATTGTGGCACGTACTTTAGCATTCACATGTACTGTTGATGACGTCATCGAATGGCAAATTACCATCTCATTAGTTTAAATAATCGGACGGTCCAAACTTTATACCTACTCAGAAAAGCAGTTAAGAAAACACAGGTAAAATCCCTAAAGTAAGACCCCACGCACTTGTGTCTTCTGCTTACCTCGCTCGCTGCCGCTGCTCCCGGGTATCTAACAGGTACTACTCTTCTTTGCTCTTAGGGTTTTTTTTTTTTTTTCCGTCAGATTTCAGGAATGTAGAAACTAATGCTATGAATTTTACTCCAGTTATCTTTCAGATTCACTTTTTATTTTCTTTCGATTTCTTATCCGCTCGAAATTCATTTTTTTCTTTCTCTAGATTTTATTTGGTTATCGGAAGCATACTTTTGAATTTTGATATCTTCTGTTGGATGGAAGTTCGATTATTTCTTTTTGAAAGAGGTTAAGTTTAATGCTCCTCCTTTTCTGTGTTTGTTTTCTTCTCCGAAGTATGGATAGTGGAGCTCCTACGGTGCACTTGAATCAATGCCAAATGCCTTCCTGCAAATCTAGTGCGAAAAATGAGGAGCTTTGCGTTAACAAGGTGAATATACAGGTAGTTGAGCAACCGGTAGTTGTTGAAGGTGAAGGGAGAGGTTCTCTAGGGCCTAAAACTCCGATTGTTAGCAGAGATAACGGATGTGACTGTAATTCTCCTCTCACAGTGGTAAACAAAATGCCAAACATCTCTTCCGATGATTCTCTTTGCAAAATAACCACAGATGTCTCTCTTCTGATTGATCAGAGCAGTCCTCGAACTCCCAAAGAAAGCGTATTTGATCCATTTGCACCTGGCCCGGAAGACAAGGTCTTGGCTCCCATCTGTAACAAATATGCTGATGCAATGAGGATTAGTGTTGCACGTTGCCTAAGCTTCGATTCTCTGCTCCAAGTTAGAAAAGATTTAAGTCGCCCTTTTGATGTGGAATCCCTTTCAGATGAAGAGATGTTCGAATCAGTTTATGAGAATCTCTTAGAAGCTATTGTTTCCACACAGACAGAAGCTGCTCTTGCTGAAATTTCTATTGTAAATTTGGATGCTGATACTTGTAATACGCCTCTGCATTCAACTCCCCTGAGTGGCATCGCTGATACTTGTCCTGGAGCTCCCTTGAAACTTGCTGGGAAATCTAGAAAAATTGACTTGGGATTGTGCAAAAAGCTTGAGTTCTGACCGTACTGGAACATTGATATGGAGTTCATGTCTCCACAAGCAGAAAGCTATACAGTGAAGCTGGTAACTAATTTTGTATTTGTGCTAATATTAATATCCTAACATTTCTGCCTCTAATTTAGGACTCATGGATCCGCCAGAAATTGTTTTGACATGGAATGATTGTCTGTTACCAAGTTTGTTGTCTAGGTAGTGATATAGTTCCATTGTATAGCATTTGATAAAATAATTACATTTGAATTTTTGCGAACACGTCGTTCTCGGTTTTTAAGTGTGGCAATAATTACTTTCTGATCTTTTTTGCTCCCTTCCGCACCGTGCCCCAAGTAAAAGAGAAAATCTGCATCTTATATGTGCTACGTTTAGTCATATATCCAAATTTATCTGTATCTTGTCATTTTTGTCGACATTGTTTGGCTGCCGAAGTAAAAGAACAATCTCATATTAGATGTTATGGCAACTCTTTATGAGGGGAACAGTTAATCTAGTTTAAGACAATTTATTTTAATTGTTGAGTGCATATATTTTCTTCCTCTTATCCTGGAGGTTTATACATTACTATCTGTCCTCTTGAGACACGTGTCCGCAATTTTGCTTGTGTGCATTTCGAAGTAGATAGAGAGGGAAGGATTCGATGTTGGATTACTACATTTAATCTGTTAACTGCTAGAATAGTGGATGTCATTTAATTCTTGTTTCCCTCAACGTGAAGTATGGACTGTATGATGGATGTTTTTTTTTTTTTTAAATGAGATTATATATTGGATGTTATCGCAACTCTTTATGAGGGGAACAGTTAATCTAGTTCTAAGACAATTTATTTTAATTGTTGAGTGCATATATTTTCTTCCTCTTGTTCTGGAGGTTTAATGTTAGTATCTGTCCTCTTGAGACATGTGTCCCTAATGTTGCTTGCATGCGTTTCGTGGTAGATAGAGAGAGAAGGATTTGTTGTTGGATTCCTACTTTTAATCTGTTAAATGCTAGAGTAGTGGATGTCAATTAATTCTTGTTTCCTCAATGTGAGGTGTGGAGTAGATTTTATGTTGGAAGGTTCATTGAAACTTTCATCAGGTTGACTCCAAGATCAAATAGCCGTAACTGTTTGTGACCTTACAGCTTTTAAGAGGGAAATAGTCTGAGGTAGAGTTGTAACGGCACATGTAAACACGAACACACGTACTTTCCTTTTTATTTGGCAAGAAAGCAGCAAATTATCAACAAGAGTTATCATTTAACAGATTCTGGAGCAATTGTGAGGCTAAGGCAGGATGTTTGCAATTGGCATTTTCTTTCTGTTTAACAAATTCAAATTCAAAAAATGTTTTAAGATTCACACACATGAATGATTATGTTGCGATTAATTTACGTATGCTTTTCTAATAGTAAATCTCTATTTTTTCTTGCCTATAAGACTGCAGTTGCATAGAATAAAATATCTACAAATTTGGTTACTGTTTTGTCAAATGAGAATATTCAGGCAACTTCTTGGTTTAAGTGGAAATTATTTAATGTAAGAGTTTTATATGTTTCTCTCTTGTTGTTTCACACTAATCTTCATCTTAGTTCAGATTATAAACACAAATTGGGATCTTAATCAAATGGTTCTAATGATGTTAAAATAATAGTTTATAAATTGTGGAATAAAAAGTTGTCTTTCTTTTTAAAATAGAAAATATATCTTTGATGGTGATCTTGCTTGATTTTGATTAAGGTTGTTAAGGAGTGACTTTTGTGATGAACCATCAGAGAAATGGTTAAAGGGTTAGTGCTTCTGGATTGATTGATTGTTGGAAAAGATTGCACATTTGATGTCTGTGATGATTTGTGGATTGTTTTTTCTGGTGGAGTGTTTATGATCTTGAGTTTGCCTTGATGTTTAATGTGTGAAGTTTATTGTTTTTATTGAATTATTAATATACTGTTGAGTTTTACTTGTGTCTAATTGGATAGTTACAAGTTCAAATTTTTATATTCTTTTTGGTGCATTCAGAATATCTTTTGTGAAATAGAACAATTGCGGGAATTGAATCCAGATTAGTAAAGATTGGAAATTTAGGACATGTCTTGGTTCACTATAAATAGTTATTACGTAATAGAGTTGTTTCATAATTGGGTTGAGTAGTTCATGATTATGATACTTAAAATTTCTGATTCATTATTGAGGGCAAATTTTAATCCTTGTTTTACTTTTACACCTTTATGTTCCCACTCAACAATTGGGCTGTGCGGAGTCCGGTCTGAACCGGAAACCAGATGAGAACTGGCGGTTCAGTCCAGACCGGATAAGACCTGACTAAGACAAAAAAATCGGTCCTTGTTCTGAAATGGTCGGGTTTCAGTGCAGACCGTTAATGGGCTACATTTTTAGTCTCGGTCTGGTTTTGGACCCTTACATACTGATGTACTGTTTACATGGATTTATTATTCTTTAGTCATCAATGTGATTTTTAATTTTGAACTGTACTGTCTTATTGTCTACTTCAGATTTTAGATACAGTGCACATCATCAATGGTTCAAAAAGCCGACAGAAAGCACATGCAGATTTTGAAAAGTAGATGCTACAACTTTTTCTTTAGAAGGATTTGCCTGTCAATACTCGAATAATATATAAAGTGAATTCAATACAAGAATTTTTAAGGATAACAAGAGGACAATTTGTATTAGAGACAATTTATGTGTAATTCAATAAATTCTATGGCCAAGATATTGGATATCCTTGAGATAAATAGTGTCGATATGAATATATATAGTTGTGTGGACGCATAAGATTCTATTTAACTTTAAAATTATTTTAGTTCATCAATATAAATCCAAACAGACTCTAAAAATGGATTAAGCTCAATTAGTAAATGAGTTATAAGATTGAGTTAGTCCAAATATTAATTTTACATAATATAAATTAGAGGATAATGCAATTATAATATACATTTTAATGGAATAAAATTTTAAATTGGATTTATTCCAAGCAATGTCTTTTTTTACAATTTCTATTTTGACAAAGGGAAATATAGATTCATGTGTAGAGTTTACATTTTAAATAATGTAAGTTTAGGAATAGAATAAAAATAAAACATATATATAGTAAAAAATTTCAATATACGCATAGGTTTAAAAAGGTCATGTATGAGCAACTTACAGAAGAAGTAATGAGTTTTAAGCACAAAGAAAGCAAAACCGGATAACACATTTAAACAGCAAACAAAAAAGAAGTATTTTGCTACTTTGTATGAATATGTAAAGGAAAAATTAGGATCTTGGTATACAGTGATATTGTCTCCAAAACTAATATACTTGACTGTATGGACTACTAACATATCGAATGCAGTTTAATGAACAAAATACCAAACGTCATTGAATCATCATAACTTGGTCTTATTATTACAATCTTGTTTCTGAACCTTCATGGAAGGGAGATCAATGATGAATCCACATTCTGAAGTAGCAATGACATGTTTCTTGAATATCCCTAGGAATGTGACTCTGCCGGGAATTCTGGTTTGCGACTTCATCATGATTTGACCAGCCAATACATCACGGATCAAAGCAGCAGCGTCGGATGCGAACTCATGGAGCTGGAGGGTAAGGCGACATGGAATCGTTGAGGAGGCCATGGCAGGCATCAGACCAGGAGAGATGTCAGCCTCTCCAACCTGGTTATTCTGATAGAAAAGCAAACCCTTGCCAGAGCCATGCTTGAAGGTGGCATGATTTGGGTTGTGAACTTGGATTTTTAGGTTGAGGGTGATGTTGAGTTGAATATTTACCACAGGAAACGACATACGCGGAGCAATCCCATCAACCGTGGCCGAGAGAATTTGTGTTGTGGGCTGCCGGGGCTTGAACACCGTTAGAACTAGGATCAATAACACCATAGAAATCAGAATGATGAGGAGAACAACCATTACGGCAGCCACAATTAGACAGTGGCGCTTCCGGCTCCGTTTCTTTTGCTGGTTATCATTGCTCGCAAGATGATCCTGCTGGTTACTCATCGTTCAAATTTCTGGTTAGTGAACATTGTTGGTGTGAGTCAAAAATAAGTTGGAGGTGAATAAATGTAGGATGAGTCAAGGTGAGGTTGGGGAGAGTTGGGCAGATTTTAATGCAGCTTATCACCCACCTAATTCCTCAGAAGACCAAGTTTTCCGGAGTATTATAGTCTTCTGTAATTAATGCACCCTTAATAGCTGCCACATACTTGCTCCTCTATCTTGTTGTATTTATAATCTTTTTATATATTTTTTTTTTTATGGAAAAGGCAAAAGATCATGTTGCTTCGTCAGAGGCTTTTCGTTTTAATTTGTTTCATTTTATTTTCTCTGCTTTTCATTGAAATCCTAACAAGGTAGCTTATCCTATCACTCAATTAATTATAATTTTCTTCTCTAAAACAAAATAAGAGAGAGTCAAACTTGGAAGTGCAGTGAAAATATATTGTGATGTCAGTTATTAAGAGATAAATAAATACACAAGTCTCATTACATTGATCGGAAAGAATTCGTAGTGATTGAGAGAATTAAACACCAAAAAGTGAATTATTTTGTCAAATCAAGTATTTTTCTTACTGTTACAACTAATCTTCTAAACCTTACAAAAAGAAAAACGAATTTCACGTCCTTCTTTTATGGAAATAGAGAAATAAAAAAAAAAAAAAAAAAATTCTATTAATTACATCATTGTTCTTGATTTGGGAACATACGTTATTAGCTTCTCTATCCTATTTTATGTTTTAGATAAAATAAAGGTAAAATTTAATGCCATGCTATCTCAACTATATCTATACCTCACCTTCCAATTGCTGATTTGCATATGGAAAACAAAGGTACTACGTGGGAGAAGTCAGAATCTATTGCGTGTTTTTTAATTCGTAAGCCAACACATGGGCAGAAGGTTTTCAACCCGTAATTAGCAGAAAGTGCCATCTTTCACTTCACATGCAATGCATGAAAAAAACAAAGAAAAAGATATTGGCAAGCTGTCAGCAAGAAGACAATTTCAATACACAATAAATACAAAAATGAACTATTTTTTTAATTTAATTTTAAATTTCTTTGATTGAACCACTTCAATTTGTATCCTTCCAAAATAATCCTCTTTAAATCAAACTTCCCTCTTCGAATTATATTTTGTAATAAAGGAAATACAACTTTCGTTGATTATCTTCTTCTGTTTATTGACAAGCTACTACGCTGAATCAGTACAATCTGAAAAAGGAAAAAACAATTACAACCTATACATACATATATATATATATATATATATAGCACAAACTGAAATCTCCACGATTGCATCTGAAACCCACAAGGACTAAAATCTGCAAAAGCCAAATAGACATCTTGGAAGGAAGAGGAGGAAGAAGGGAGTGCTATAATTTGGTCTTATATTGGCATTGCTGATTGCCAACGCTCCTATTGGGGATAAATACGGTGAAATCACAAGAAGTGGAAGAAACAAGATGGAATTTGAAGATACTGAAAACGATAACCTTGCCTGAAAGCTTGACGAAGGTGTTGAGAGGCAACTCACCTGCCGTTGCATCAGATATAAGCTGTGAATCGGAGAGGAAACGATCCGCCATGAGCGTAAGCGTCAAGTTCATTGGCGAAGTTTCGCCTGAAGAAATCTTGCCGGCGGGAATAGGAGCTTCTCCGACGAGTTTCCCTCTGTAGTTGAGAAGCGCGGAGGAGTTGGAGTACTTGAATCCTACCTTGTTAGGGTTACGAATGGAGAGATCCACGTCGAGACTGACATTAAGATGGATTCTGAGCGCCGCAATGTCCATCGACAAGGAGAGATCGTCGAGAGCGATGGAATCGATTGTCGAAACCGGATGTTTTGGCTTGAAGACCGTGAATGCTAAAATCACAATCAGTATTATGATTACAACGACCACCACTGTCAATCCAACGCACAGGTTCCTAAGCTTCCGACCGCGGCGGTTGCGATCCTGAGCTTCCGGTGCTTTGTTGAGGCCCCTCTGTGATGATTTCACATCCATCTGTGAATTTGAGATTCAAAATGAGTAATTTTCTTGTTTTCAGAAGACAAGACTCAGGCAGGGAAGGCCATGGGAGTGGAGGTAGAAAACGAATGAGAGGAAATCAATGGAGACTTGGTAGGGTTTGAGAAGATGAGAGGGAGGAGATTGCGGTTCCATTCACACTCTTTTCGGGAAAAATAACTTGGAGAGACTTTTCAGTGATTATCTTTATTTCTCAATTTTATTTTGCTTACCTAAAATTTGATATTTGGTATATTATATGGAATGTATTTGTAAGTAAAAAAAATATAATTGAAGAATATATTAAAAAAATATGACTAGTGATACTTGCACTGAATTAATTTTGTACCTGAATTTAGTTGGTGTTTCACATCAAATTATTTCTTACAGGGTTACGCAACATATAATATTCAAAGGAGCTAATAATAATTTCTTATAATAATTCTGATTATGAAAAAAAAATTATTTGAAGTTATTCTCTTGGTTCATAGAGATTCTACAAATGGAAAAGTCTTTGAAAGGAATTTAATGGAAAGAAATATGATTCTATAGATATAAACACAAGTAGTGAGAGGAAGAGAGGATAAAAAGCTTATTGAAAAAAAATATATATATATAATTTTATTGATAAATCATAATTTGGACATTTTAATCCCATTTTATGTTAAATTAGATTTTCATCTTCTTATGTATTTGCATGTTGTGAAAAGTTTAATTTGGTGTTGCATAAGTGCAAAAGAAACTTAGTGGAAGAGATAGAAAGGTCAGACTTAACAACTCAAAACTTACATAGAGTCACTACTGTTAAAACTCTCCATGGAACCAGCCATCAGTTATGACCAATGATAGCTCTTAAGACTGTTGGAGTTTGGTATGAGGAGGTAGGAGAACCTGTTAACTTTTGAATCTCAATCCTTATAAACAATGACTTGAACCAGCTCATGACTAGAATGTGGAGAATCATCAAAACAAGCTCTATCAATAATATATATATATATTATAAATATATATGATGTGTATATATAAATGATGAATACTTTTTCACCTAGCTTATAAAAGTGAGGTTTTTTTGTATTAATGTCTTAGTAACTATTTTGTCTTACTCTTACTTTTATGTTTATTTTAAGTATTAGTATCAGTACTAATTACAATAATTAAAAATAATCTTAATCACAGTAACTAGTCTACAAAAATTTCTAATAAAATAAATAAAAGATCTACTCTCCATTTTTACCCTTCTTGAAAGGAATCTAGGCAGGGTTCTTTAGTAAAGTTCTGAGTCAATATTTAAAAAAATTAGATTTGGGGTGAGTTTCAAAATATTAAGTAAGAAAAATAGTAATAATGTCATGCACATACGTTTAAAAATATTAATTAAAGAAGAGATTTAAGAAATCAATGATATTTCAAACAAAATTAAATATTATATTTGAGTAAATCAGTAATATTGAAATATCAATATTAATATCCAATTCAATCATAAAAAACATTCAATAAAGTATTCAATATATTTACATAACATAAATTCAAAGGATTGGACTGGTATTTCTTTTTATGTTTTATTATTATTTTATTAATTCTTTATTAAATTACAGTGATTACAAACCTGCATATGCAACCACTTACACCTATTTTTAAGGGAGAGCAAATGGGACACCGCTAGCTATAAGTAGGTACAAATTCAATAAATACAAAACAATGGCATAATACATATAATCTTTCATATATCTCTCAAGGTGCCATCCCACAATTTCACTCGGGTCGCCGTCATCCATCTTTCGTTAGAGCATGGATAGTAATCAGTTCAGATTTCTAAAGAAAACTTAATTGTAGTTCCAATGTAGAACCCAAAACTAACACCCATAGCCTTAGTGGTTCCAAAACCAATACCAATACCAGTCCAAGGAAATTAAGTGAACCAGACTTAACTAGACACTGTATTGTTTATATTTTAATTTAATTTAATTTTTATTTTTTATTCCTATTAATTTCTAGGTATTTTGACTTGGAATCCTAAAATTTTAATGAGTTTGGATTGTGTTTACTTAATATTTGCTTGGTTACTTTAGGTTTATTATTCTTAGATCCAATATTTTAATTATAGTCTTAAAATTTTTTATTTGTCTATTTAGGGTTTTTTAAGTTAATTTATTATTCTTTAGCGATAAATTTATGTTATTAGTTCAGTTTTATAATCTTAAGTTATAAATTTTTTATTTTATTTTATTTTATCTTTTACATTATATTTTTCACTTACAATTTCCAAATTTCCATTTTTACTTTGTATTCCTTTTTCTTTTCAAATTTCTTAATTTACTGTTAATCCAATTCAAATCATTTTTAAATTTCAATTCTAATTAAGCAAATCACCAATTTACCTTTTCCCACGGCCTGCCCGAGGTAATTTTTTGCTTTCACGTGCTTGTGGCACGGTGGGCATTCCATGAAGGCCTCTCGACATATGCACGCCTGCCAAGCCAGCACGGCTCGCCTTGCTTGCAGCGCAGGCAGCTAACCTGGGGGGCATGCGTTGGGGTGCAATGGGGCACCCACACACATGTCCATGCATGCATATGCGCGCTCGCTTGCCTTACACATGATGTCCACGCACGCGCAAGCTCTCTCGACATCCCCAGATGCCTTATATGTTGAGTTAAACAAGCTTATGTTTAATATTTTTTTGCTATGCATAATGATTTAATCCTATTATACTTAATATTTTAAAGTAATAGAATATCAATTTACATATGTTTGAGGTATTGGAAGAAGATATCATAACTATTAAAACTACTGCATGCTAGATTTATCCTTATTATGAAAGAAACTCATCACGCTATAGATAACTTAGATATAATTTTAATTGTTTCTTAGGATAATTAATAAACTTCATTATTTTGTTTGTAGCGCCCGGAAAGTGGGCCGAAAAAAAAAAAAAAAAAAAAAAAGCCACGTCGGCAGCCACGTCAGCAGGCCCGGTCAGCAGTCCCGGCCAACCGGGACCTGCCACGTGGCAAGACCACGTCGTTCCAAAAAGGGCCACGTTGGCGATCTGTGTAGGCGTGATCGGACGGCCCAGATCAAGCGTGCGATCGGACGGCCCAGATTTAAGCGCACGGACAGCCCAGATTTAATCAAAAACGGACGGCCCAGATTAAAACATAATGGACGGCTGAGATCAAAAGACAAAGGGTTATAAATAGAACCCCCACACCAGACCACAAACCCTAGCCGCCTGCCGCTCGCCGGAGAAGATGAACCAGAAGCCGGCCGCCGCCACCCGCCGCCGCACCGAAGGAATTTTCGACCGCCGATCGAGGTAAATTTCGTACCCCCGACCCGTTTTTCCACGATGATTCCTCCTGTGGCCAAATTGGAGCCAAAATCCCGGCCAAAATGCCGGAATACACGGCCGAAGCCCAGCGGCGCCGCCGCGCCCCTTCTCGGTTTTTGCCTCCGATGAGGCCCTTCCCGGCCTTCGTTTGATGCAATTTTTATATCACCGTGATCACCATTCTTTTCTCTACAGGTTGACCGCAGCCGAATCACCAAAACACGAACCTCGCCCGAGAGCCGCCGCACCCGAGAGCGCCGCCGCCGGTAAACTCCGTTTTTCCATGATTTTTTGGCCCCCCGAGGGCCCTAGGGTTGTTTTCTCGCAGGGACCGATGCGAGTGTGGCCGAATTCGGTCGGAAACGGTCGAAAACAGCCAACCCGAGGCGAATCGCCGCCGCCAGCGGCGACGCCGTCGCCGGAGCACGGCGGAGCCGTCGCCGGAGCACGGCGGAGCCGCCGTGCCCGGAGTTGCGATTTGGGCCGAAAGGGGCCCTGGGCCTAATTTGGGATTTTTTTGGAACACGTGCAGGTACCAGTAGTGCGTTTCAGTTCCCCGAGGAAAATTCAAGGAAAATTAGGGACAGCCTGCAAGCGCACTGTGAAGCCGTGTTCGGACCCCGAAACGAGTAAGGACCCCTCACCCTATTTCCTATCACGGTTTTAAAGTTCAATAGATGATAAAACGGTATTTCATGAATCAACGAATGTGTGAAATTGCTTAAGGTCGTTAATGGAGCCCGAGTCTAGTGTGTTTGTCGGTTAACTGTTATTTGGCCTGTTTTACAGTTTTAAATGCAGTATGAGGTTTGATGTTTTCATTTTATAGTTTCGTGTGCATATTTTACTGTTTTATTGATTATGGGTTGAATGACTGGAATATTGATACTGTATGTTGTCTGTTTGGCATAAATTACTATTTTGCTTGTTTGTATGTGGATTAATGATGCTGACTGAGGAAAAAGAGAATGAACAATTATGTAAATGGGTAATGGTATAATGTGGTCAGCCTGATTAGATATCCTGGGAGATGGTGGACGGACCGGGTCCGTAGGGAACCCTACCGGGATTGTGGTCTCCCATATCGGACGGGGTATGGAGATCTTATGTGTTTTGGCGCCCATACCGGACGGGGTATGGGGACGGCCCGTTTCACCCTCATACCGGACGGGGTAATGAGGTCTATGTTTTGGCGCCCATACCGGACGGGGTATGGGGACGGCCCGTTTCACCCTCATACCGGACGGGGTAATGAGGTCTATGGTTTGGGGCCCATATCGGACGGGGTATGGGGACGACCCTAGAATATGATTTCAAGTGTTAAGGGTTAACGGGTAGCGGGACCCCTATGGATCCCCATGGATACTAGTGGGCTGGTAAATGAGGAAAAATATGTTGTGTAACGATTGAATTACGAAAAGCTTGATAAGTATTACGTTATACAGTTTATATATGATTTCATGATGATAATGATGTTATTGTTTTCGTATATTGTCTTATGAATTTCACCGGGTAAGTGAATGGTAAAGGTTTTATTATTGATAAAAGGTTTTGTTGTAAATTACGCTCCATTGGTCTTTTTGTGTTTTCTACCCACCTTTACCTCCGTGACGGTGAGATATCGTGATGTCTTTACTGGGCTAGTGTAGCTCATTCCTTATTTAAT